AAAAGATAAGGAGACGTCAGAATTTTATGAAATTTGGAATAAATGTTATAATTGGCTAGAACAGAGAAAGAAAAAGATATAATTATTGATGTATATAAAATGTAAATAAGATGTAAAGAACATTTAAAATGTAAAGCACTGTTCTGTTAGAAGAAAAGATTTATGTTTATGTAGTTTTGGTGTATGGTGTATGGTGAAATATAAAAAAAAATTAAAAAAAAAAAGAAAGCAAGTACAGTTACAGAAAACATAAAATGATACAAAGAATACTGCAACTGAACTGCATTACTAACTACAAAATTGTATGTATAAAACTATCATTCTTACATAATAAAAACCAAACTCTTGTAGAATTTTTCTAAATGTAAACTAACAATTTTGAGTGTTTTTCAGCAATCTAGAGATCTGATTTTCCAGACTGAAATGGGGTTCATTTTGATGCTGCAGATATAACGGTGGGAATTGTTTAAAGCAGGGGTCCCCAACCTGTGGGCCGCAGCCCGGTAGTGGACCGTGGCCTACTGGCACCCGGGCTGCAGGACAGGCTGGTCAGTGCGCACGTGTATGCGCGCGCGCACCCCCTCACTTGTGCTAGTGCCATGGCTGCGGGGCGCAAAAACAGGTGCAAAATTTAGCCGCCATGCCTCGGGGTGTGAAAATGGGATGTGCCACAGGGCGTGAAAATAGGCCGCCACACCACCAGAGTGCAAAAATGGGCCGCCACCACACAAAAATGGGACACCGCCACACTGCAAGGCACAAAAACGGCCACCACAGGGTGCGGAAACAGGCCATCACTGCGCTGCAGGGAGCAAAAATGGCACCGCCGCACTGCAAGGCACAGAAACAAGGTGCTGCACCACACAAGAACGGGGCAGGGCTAGTATCACATGGGCGCTAGCCCCGCCCCATTTGTGGCACATGTGTGCTTGCGGCCCCGTGCATGCACACATGTAAAATGCTTCCCCTCCCTTTTCCTCCGGTCCATCAACCGATAATGGTTGGTGACCTCTGGTTTAAAGAAAGGGATTGATTGCTGACATTTTTGCAATCATTTTTACATTACAACCTAAAACCAATTCTAGCAAATTAGACAACTAGCTATTTGCAAAAGGGTATTCCTCTCTTTTAAATTGCCTTCACTTTTTACTTTAAAAAAAGTTAAAGTATACTATTTAAAAGCTGAAGATTGTATGACAGAGTCCTTGACGAACAAGTGTATGTTTTTATCTAGCTGAACAGAATTGTCAGGTTTATGAATTATATAAAAGCATGCAAACTTTGAACTATGAGAGAATGACAGATGGGCAACAAAAAGTGTGTGTGTGTGTGTGTGTGTGTGTGTTTGATGGGGGAATGCCTATCTCTTACATGAGAAACTCAGAAAAGAATGCTAACGTTTACAGTGGGCAGTAGAAAGTTTCTTAGTGAAGTCAGAAAATGAGCATTTCATATCAGATAAGCCTCAGAACTGCATAACCTTCTATCAAACACTTTTGTGCAGTTATGGAAACTTCTCCTTTTCTAAAACTGTTATTCCCTGAAAACTAGCTTTCCTGGTCCTTTGTTTGTTAATCCAAACTTATTTTAAAATATTAAATCTTACTTTATTTTATGAGGGATTTATACTATACTGATATCACAGGTATCAGCAGAATGAGCCTTCGGTTTCAGTGAAACCAGAATGAAGCCCAGAAGGAGCAGTACATGGAAACAATAAACATTTTGAAACTCCTATATTTTATGTGTGAGCTCCCCTAATCAAAAACAAATTCTCTTTGTTCTTTGTGTAAAATATAACTTTGCAAACTTATTTCCAAAGAGGCAAAATTGCACACTGAAATTCTCAACCCACTCCTTGACAGAATCCAATGTTGTACAAATGGAAATTCTACCTGCAAAAGTGAATTACAGGATTCCATACCTTATCAACAATGATAAAGATTTTGATACTGGATTTAAAAGACTTCATAAATATTGTGCAAAGCAAAGGCCTGTATCAAAAATTATGCAAGTCCAGGGCTTTTTTTCAGCCGGAACGCGGCGGAACCGCGTTCCGGCACCTTTTTCCGGGCCGGCCGCACCGGAAATAGCCCCTCCCACACCGGAAATAGCCCCTCCCAAATTTTACTTGCATTCCTGTTCTCTAAAGGGGCGGTCCTAGGGTTTGATGAGGGCGTGGCCAGGTTTGAGTTCCGCCACCTTTTCTCC